ATGGTTTTTAACATCATAGTTAAAGCAGGAAAAAGTGTTTCACTAGATTATTTTGGGAAAAGCCTTCACCAGATGCAACTCAAATCAGGCAATACATTAAATAGTTCATTTGGCTTTTCCTTTTCCAGAATCCCTGCTCTTCTAGTTTTCATTATCGACTTAGGGAGGTAGAATTTGTGCATAGTAAAATCACGTATAACAAATGGCTTGTGAGTAATATGGACTCCAGGTGGATTAAAAGTACAAAGAAGGGAATATTGACTGTGAGCTGGTCTGACAAGGTTCCTAGGAAGAAGTGATTGAGCTGGAGAAATGGCAGGATGGTTAAAATTTCAATAGGCAGAAATTTCATAGATTTACACATTTAACAAATACACAGCACTTATGTGAGAGTTACTATGCTGAGCCTGGCAACACAAAAGTAAACTAAATATAATCCCTGCACCAACAATGAATCAGACAACTATAGAACAGGGTGTTTGGGGAGTGCAGAGAAAGGGCTAACTCAGACAGTGAGTCAGACAGAGATGGGTAGAGTGAAGCAGGACAATCTTCCAGGTGGAGGGACAAGAGTTATAAAAGGCCAGGAGTGAGGGATTATGCTTGGGGCTGGAGTCTAAGAGTCATGCTGTCCAGTACAGTAGTCATTAGCCACATGTTGTAGTTGAACACTTAAAACGTAAGTGTTCAATGTAGCAACTGAGAAAATGAATTTATAATCTTAGTTTTAATTAACTTGTATTTAAAAATTGACATCCACTTCAATATACTTGGAACTTCGGTATGCAAATCTACTCTTTCAAAGTAAATTTCATGAAATTTGGATACAAATATTTATTGACATTTAGCATCTGAATTGAGAGGTACTGTTGGTGTAAAATACACACCTGACTCCAATACACACCTTTACTTCCAAAGGAAGGTAAAATTCATAATTTTTTATATTGATTACATGTTTCCATAATATTTTGACTACATTAAGCATATTACAATTAATTTTACTTGTTTCATTTTACTTTGTAAATGTGGCTCCTAGAAAACATATTGGCTCACATTGTATTTCTATCAGACAGCACTGGTCTGGAGTGCCATGAAGTGTGGAGGTGAGAAAGAGGTGGAATGCCAGAACATGCAGGGTTGGGAAGCTGTACATTCTGAATAGTATTGGCTCAGCTGGGTGCGGTGGCTCACGCTTGTAATCCTAGCACTCTGGGAGGCCGAGGCGGGTGGATTGTTTGAGCTCAGGAGTTCAAGACCAGCCTGAGCAATAGCGAGACCCTGTCTCTACAAAAAAACCCAAAAACTAGCTGGACAACTAAAAATATATATAGAAAAAATTAGCTGGGCATGGTGGCACATGCCTGTAGTCCCAGCTACTCAGGAGCTTGCGGTAGAAAGATTGCTAAAGCCCAGGTGTGAGGTAGGCTGACACCAAGGCACTCTAGCCTGGGCAACAGAGGGAGACTATGTCTGAATGAATAAATAATAAAAATAGTTGGCTGGAAGCCTACATGGCAGGCACTATTCTGGTCATTTGAGATATCAGTGAATGACAAGATTCCTGTCCTCAGTTTACATTTTGGTGGGAGTATGTGTGTGTGGGGTCAACAAACAATAAGCAAATAAGTACAAATACTAAAGTATGTTGGGAGAACTTAAGAGCTGTGGGAAAAATAATTGACTCCTAAGTCCTCAGGAGCACTTGGAAGTGTAGGTGAGGGGGCATCACCATCTGTTAAAATGTGATGGTTGGGTTGGACCCACTAAGGCGATTTTTGAGCAAAGATTTGAAGGAGGTGCTGTGGTGAGCCACATTATCTGGGGGAAGAGTTTTCAAGGTAGAAGGAACACAAACCAAATGTGCTAACGTTAAGGGCAAGGGAGGGCCTGGCAGGTTCCAGGAAAAGCAAGGTCTGTGAGGCTGCAGCAGGGTGAGTGAGGTCAGAGGGTAAGTGCAGATCACGTGGGGATTCATAGGGTATCGAGAGGGTCTGGGATTTTAACCTGAGCAAAACAGCATTTTGAGCAGTGGAATGACGTTTTAAAAAGGTCATTCTGGCTCCTGGATTGCTTGCTGTAGGAAGCAGGAAGTGGAAGAAGGAAGACCTGTTAGGTTAGTACAGTAACCACATGAGATGAGCATGGTTTAGAGCAGGGTGGAGGCAGCAGCAGTGAGGAATATCAGTTCTCAGTATATTGGAGGGAATAAAAAATTTCTGGGTTGAATTTTTTAAGAGATGGGGTCTCACTGTATTAACCAGGCTGGTCTCAAACTCCTGGGCTCAAGTAATCCTCCTGCCTCCACCTCCTGAGTAACTGGGATTACAGGCATGAACCACTGCACCCAGCTCTGAATATGGGTTTTGAAGAGAAGAGTCAAGGATGACTCCAAGTTTTTGGTCTTAGGAATTGGAAGGAACTGCCAACAACCGAGATGGGAAAGCAGGTCTAGTGGGAAGTTAAAGAGTGATAACCAAGGACTGAGTCTTGAGGTAGGCAAGATCAGGGAGCAGACAAGGAACCATCAAAGATTGAGAAGCAGCAAACATTGATAAAAAAAAGGAAAATCAAGAGCGCAGGCTCCTTGGAAGCCAAGTAAAGAAAGCTGCTCAAGGAGAGAGAGATCAAGTGTATCAAATGCTCCTGCCTGAGCAAGAGTGAGACCCTGTCTCCACTAAAAATTAGAAAAAAAATTAGCCAGGCATGGCATGCGCCTGTAGTCCCAACTACTTGGGAGGCTGAGGTAGGAAGATAGCTTGAGCCCATCAATTTCAGGTTGTTGTGAGCTAGGCTACCACCACGGCAATGTAGCCCAGGTGACAGACTGTCTAAAAAAATCAAACACAGCTGATACAAAAAGGGTGAAGTCTGAAAATTGACCATTAGATTTAGTAAAGAGGTGACTTTGAGAAGTTTTGGTGGTGTGGGAGACTGACTCAGAGTGGGCTGAAGAAAGACTGGAAAAGAGGAACTGGAGGCAGTGAGAATAAATAACTCTTCAAGGGGTTTTATTCCAGTGAAAGGTAAAGAAATGAGACAGCACAAAGAATTGGGGCAAGAATTGTAATGGGAGAAATACAGCATGTTTGTGTGCTGAAATGATACAATAACGAGGGGAAAAATGGATTATGAAAGGGGCAATTGCTAAAGTGATGGGAGAAACAACTATGCTAGCATTTCCCAACGTGTGCCAGCAGCATCTCCTGGAACTTGTTGGAAATGCAAATTATCAGGCCCTTCCCCAGACCACCTAAGTCAGAAACTCAGGTGAGGCCAGGTTATCTGTTTTAAGAAACCCTCCAGACTCAAGCTTGGTAAGCACTGTCAGCTAACAAGAGGGAAAACTGGGGGAGTGTGTGTGTGTTAGGGGTGGTCTTTGCAAATTCTCTGGTGATGCTTGTTTTGTCAGTGAAGAAAGAACTAAGTTTACCTGCTGAAAGTGAAAATGGGAGAGCTGATAAGGGGTTTTAAGTAGGAAAGAGATACCAGATTTTCACTTACACAATTATCTGAACTTTTGCTAAGTACAAGGAACAGAGGATCCTACACTGATAAGTTAAAGTTCTTTTATGGAGGCTTACCAAGTAGTGAGGGAGATGTATAACTGAATGATCTTTATCTGAAGTTCTCACTCAAGGTTTTCTTTTAAATGGCTAGATATACTCAATTCCTTTAACTATTACTTATGTGGCATGGTTTTCTCAGACCCCTCATCCTTCTACTGGTGTTTTTAAATGGTCAGTGTTCCAAATACAACCTATCACAGAATTTAATTCAACACTCAGATATTTAACCTCATGTTACATGAACTGCTATGAAGCCAGGTCTCCTCTAGTCTCCACTCCTTAAACTGTACAAATTAGAGCAGATGCCTAAGGAAAAAGCTTGGTAAGTACAGGTAGGTATAGACAGTAAGTCTCTTGATTCATGCCTTAGAAGTTATCACTAAGTTTCTTTCCAGAAACTTTCCATGAACATAAAACATAAATATGCTACCCAAACAGATACAAACTGCACACTTATTTTACTTTACATATTTTTCTCATCTACGTTTATCATGAACATTGTTCCATACTGGTACATAAAGATATATCTTTGTTCTTTTAAACAATTGTACATTATTTATATTTGAATTGATTCACCTTGGTTTATTTAGACAATCCCATGCCCCTGATAATTTTAGCTATTACCAAGCTTTTGCTTATTACAGAAAATTCCAGGATGCATGTTAGGTTAATCTGCAAAATATTTTTAGGTATCTCATGTATCCCTGCTGTTCCAACCTTTTTCAATTTTTGTGGTTAACACTCTGCATATAAAAGATTCAGGCTGTCATTCTCAGACCCATGATAACTGATGTCAAACACAACAGCAGATAATGCCAACACAGACTCCTTAGATGCAATTCATTAATTAAAGGGGCTAAGTCACTGAGGTAGAGCTTTCCCATTATGCCTACCATCCATGGGGGCAATTTAAAAATGCTCAAAACTGACCATGATGTTCACTTAATTTAGTAGCTTAAAAAAAAAAAAAAATAGTGCAGTATCACAGAAATGGGAAGCGTTCCAGGAAGTGATCATCATCTTCAAGCACAGAGTATAAGGAAAAGTGTATTGGTTTTGTCCAAGGAGTGGATGACTAGTAACAAAACAGGAGTATATTCCATTCATTTGAGAAGTCTGAAAATGAGGTTGCCGGAAAAGGCTGCTGGGTCAAGAAAAGTCCTTCTGCAAGTAGAACTGTACTTTCTGAAGACAGCAAGAAAAACACCCACGTTTTTGGCTTGATATTCTCAGACACCTACTAAGAATGAGAGAAAGTGAGATACTGTCTATATCATACTGTAGTGAAAACACAGGTTACATAGCTGGAGAACGCTGGGTTCAAGTTCGTTAGATTCTCCATGGACCTCTAACAGATAACCAGCCTTGAAATCAGAATGCATCAGGAACTCCAAGAGTCATATCACAGGTGATCCCAATGGCTCAAGACTAACATTGGAGGGTAACAGGTTTATTTTATTGTCTACAATTAGCAGCTTAGTATCTTGAAGTCAATCTCATAGACACAAACATACTGACTTTACAAATCCTTTAAACAAAAGATACTGTATACTGATCTTAAAAGTATCCTGTAATAGACTACAGTGAGAAGAAAATAATTCCGAGGAGAAAAAAGATCTCCCTGTGACAGAAAACTTAAGAAAACAAAACGCATTCCTATAAAGTGAACAATAAAAACCCGAGTGTAAAAAAGCACCCTTCCATTTTCTTATTAAAAAAGAACAATCACCAACTCATGTAAAATAATTCAACTAATAAAAAGCATAAATGAAGTCAAACATTAATTTTTAAAATATCTTACAGAATGTTTTTTAAATATTTTAACTTTTGGACTACAGTATTAAACACCTAACTTTTCTCAGAAAGCTGTTGCAAAACCCAAGTTGTTTTGACTGTATAGAAATCAATAATTCATTTTTAACAGAATAAAGATGTAATACCCTTAACACTCACCATCTTATTACCACCTTAAATTTCACTGCAATACCAAAAACAATGTTTTCAAGAACTAATCTAAGTCCATTTTTATTTTTATAACAACTTTACTATTTGATTATATTCATTGTAGAAAATGTGAAGATACACAAACATTCAAAGAAAATAAAAATTATCCAGTATCCCTCCCCCAAATACAATAGCAAGATTATATATCTTTCTAGTTTTTGTACATTTTCACAGCATTTTAAAACAAAACGATTACTGTAAAATGCTTACATATCCCTTTTTTAAATTTCATATGTAGAGCAACCATTTCTCTAAGACATTGAAATATGTGAAAAGGATTTTCAGTTGGCTGATTCACAATCTAATTATAACCAAAATCACCTTCAATTGTTGAGTATTCAGATTATTTTAAATATTTGCTACTATAATACCATTATCCATTTTTATACAAAATTCTTTGTATCTGATAATTTTTTAAAGAGAAATTCCTAGGAGTACCCAGCACAAAGTACATAAATGCATTTTACCACACTGCCCTCCAGACATATTATACCAATTTATAGTCACATCAATAAATAACCACAGTCCCATTTCTTTCTCATATTCCTTGGCAACACAGGAAACTGTATATTACCCATAACCCTTTATTATTGCAAATTTAATAAAGGGAGAGAAGAATGGTATCTTCTTGGTTTTCTTTTTTCTAAAATGTAAATTTTTCCCCCGCATGTTTGCTGGTCATTTGCTTTTCTTCTGTGTTCTGAAGCAGTTCAAGTCTTTTAGAAGTGTGTCTCATACACACAACGTCTTGTCTTACCACAGGCATGGGCAGAACAGCTGCATGTTTTTTTCAAGTTAAGCAAGAATTCTCAAAGCAACTGGAGTTAGAAAGTCGTCTTTTCTTCTGCGCAGCCATGCTATTTTAATGTCTTGGTAATAAAACAGAAAACTGGGCCATATTCTGAAAGGAAGAAAGTAGGCACAGATGACAAAGACCTGTAGTAGTGATGTTCACGGGTAGGTGAGTATTCTAGTTATGAGGATATCTGTTAAAAACCAGATTTTGATTGTATAAAGTGAGAATTCACTTTAAACTCTCCAGATAATATTCATGTTCACTAACCAAATGTGGAATTTACGTACAATTCTAAAGTCATGGTTCCTCATTTAGCTTTCCTGTAAAGTGAGGTTAAAGACGCCGATCTCAGAGGTTTGTTCTGATAATCACATAGTTACATCTACCTTTATACCCACTACGACACAGTTTATATACCAACACCGACTCACGATTATTCTTTATGCAACCTCCATCCCTTATCCTTATCTTACTGTAAAAAAAAAAAAAATTTTAAAGTGTCCCTTATCTCCAAACAGAATAGGATCATCTTCAAGTCTTTTAAGTATCTTTGTAAACCAGAGCTTAACATACAATGCACGCTTAGTGTTTCTGAAATGAATTAGTGAGCGAATAAATGATATACATCTCAATGCTTTAGAGGACTGAAAATACTACCCCAGAATAAGGGATTATTGGTATGGTGTTCCTTAATGCTACAGAATGGAGGCCACAATTCTTAATTTTGTCTAGAGCAGCAAATTTTCATTTTCTTCTCTTTGGGTCATATATCTTCCGTTTGAAAATCAGATGAGAGCTACACATTGTAAGACTCTATAAAAATGCATGCATTCAAAAACATATCCTTTTACCCACAATTTCAGAAGCTTCAGGAAAGGAGAACACTGATTTCTATCCTCCAAGCACGTTTACAAAAAATGAAGCTAAAATAATACATTATTGCTTGAGAAATTATCTTGAAGTTCAAGAGACTATATTCAAAGTGAGGCCAGTTGGAAAACCTAAAAAAATGAACCTCTTAAAGTCCTTTAAAAAATAAACTTTTATGACAGGAGTTCCCAACCTATGGTGAGTTGTATAATTATTTCATCATATATTACAACGTAAGAATGATAGAAATAAAGTGCACAATAAATGTAATGCGCTTGAATCATCCCAAATCCATCTGCAGCCTCCCTGGTCTATGAAAAAAAGTGTCTTCCATGAAAACAGTCCCTGGTGTCAAAAAGGTTGGGGGCATCCACTTTATGACATCTTGCCTTAACACCGGCTCAGCAGCAGCACAAGTGTGAGTCACATTTCCAGCAAACCCACGTTTGTTACACAAGATAAAGCTGTGCTGCCCCACTGTATTATATCCATTATATGCAGCTGAATGTAACTGCTTTTATGATAAAACCCAAAAAGCCACCTGTTTCTAGGTTAAACTAACATTCCCCAATTCTCAGAATTGTTTGTTTCCCTTTCTTGCATAATTACAGGGGCTTTCTGTACTTTAATTATGCTAAAATAATTCTTGGGGAAAAGGGGCTGTCACTTATCTCCCAAGTATATAGTTTTGAAACAAACAGGTATGTTTCCTAGTAGGGAAGACAAGACTACAAATTCCAATATTCCTGACTTTGCCAGTCCTAACGGCTGAGAGACAGTTTAGGGATAGTGGTGTGCTTGTGTGTGTTCATCACTTCCAGTCTTATCAGTGCTTCATGTTGTTGGTAGCTTGAAATTGGCCATGCTGGAGCATTTATACCACACAAATCAGCAAGCACTGGAAATCATGGCTCCACCATGGCCAGCAGTTATTGTCATCACATTAAAACTGTGGTTGTCTCATTCCATATCTTCTTGGTGGTAATTCAGGTAGGGAGGGCTTCTATCAACCTTTAGAATCCTCTCTCAACTACTGCCCTATGATCCAAGATAATAGGTGTGTTCTAGGAGACCTCAAGATATGCTTATCTTTGGATAGTAGGGAAATGCAATATCTGATCAATTTGAGGCAACTCCTTATCCATGTGGTTAAGAGTCACAAAATGTCTAAATAAAAATCATGCACCTTTGAGTTTAGCAGTTAGTTTAAATTATATCCTGTGAATTAATACTAGAGTGGATCTCATATTTACTATTAATTACTGTCTTAGTTTGATGCAACATTGACCTTAAGCAGATAATCCCTGGCACCATTCTGGTATTGCTATGCCACAGTGTTGGCTTTAAAGGCCTGCTACCACTTTGCATGGATCTGCCAAAGAAAAAAATAGCTTTGTCAACAATAAGCCATACACAGAGAAAGCATTATCAATCTTCTGATGTAAGACTTAGGGATTCACTACAGAGCAGCACAATGTGAAGAACCTGGTACACCAGATAATCAAACTCTCTCTACCTCAACTTCCAATGGTCTTGCATTACCGGCCAGAAAATATGACTTGTCAATTTCGCAAGTGGTTGGTATGGTAGTAGATGGCATGAAAACTTGCTGAAAACATATAGGCTACCATAAAATACATGACGAGATAGACCAAGGGTAAAATGCAAATAACAGAAGGTGGCAGCTGGGGATCTCTGGAAGTATCTTCTTGTAGATGGCTGAGGACACTTACCTTCATGTTATGGAGGGTTTCTGACCATTCCATGGACCCTATCTGAGGTATGGTAGTCAGAAGTAAACTTTTGGCTTTATTGGCATTTTCTTTCAGGGTCTTTAAGACCCGGTCCACAGAAACCTAGAGAAGCAACAGCACAGGATGTTACCAGAATTTAAAATCCCACTGTTCTTTGCAAAACATTTCCTGCATTCCAACCTTGCGATGGTCTAAATGTTTGTGTCTTCTTCAAATTCATCTGCTGAAACCTGCTCCCCAATGTAGGGTATTTGGGAGGTGATTAGGTCATAAAGGCAGAACTCTCATGAATGGCATTATAGCCCTTATAAAGGAAGCCCCAGAGAGATTCCTCACCCCTTCCACTGTGTGAGGTTCCAGTGAGAAGATGGCGTCTATGAGGAAGTGGGCCCTCACCAGACCCTGAGTCTGCCAGTGCCTTGATCTTAGACTTCCAGAACAGTGAGAAATAAATTTCTGTTGTTTAGAAGCTACCCAGTCTATGGTATTCTGTTATAGCAGCACAGACAGACTAAGAAACCTGCCTTGTGACATCTGTTTACTCCATGCAATCCCTTGAGCTCAAGCTCTGCATTTATCAAGATAGTCTTGGAGAAACCCAATGACATCTCTAAAAAGCACTGTCAGATTTCAATATGGTATCTGAGAAAATATTTCAGATGCATGATGGGTTACCATGGTCTGGAAAGATGTGGCTGTTTTTCCCACATCCATAGTAGAACGGATTCCAGTCTTAAAACTGTTGCCACATTGGATAATCAAACAGAAGATAAGTACATTTCTTTTTAGAAAAGTATTCCAGCTTTTAAATAAAGAAAAAAAAATACAGAATTAAAGCGTCACCATTTTTATGGCTTCCAATGAATTAATGGATTGGCTGCTAACATCACAAACCAAATTTAAAAACCCCAAACCAATAAACCACTCATATGTGTTTCTTCTTCTTCTTTTTTTTTTTTTTGAGATAGAGACTTGTTCTGTGGGCCAGGCCAGAGTGCAGTGGTTGTCGTCATAGCTCACTGCAGCCTCAAACTCCTGGCCTCAAGTGATGCTCCTGCCTCAGGCTCTACAGTAGCTGGGACTACAGGCACATGCCACAACACCTGGCTAATTTTTTTATTTTTTTGGTAGAGCTGGATATTGGATTAATGGAAAATCATACTATTGTCTACTTTTGTATATGACTGAAATTCTTTCACCAGGAAAAGTTGAAAAAAATATGTGAATACAAACTGACTAGAGATATAGTACTTCTGCTTTACTATGCTCAGAAGAAATCCAACATTCAGGGATGCAAAGATTACACTTTCCTATTTCCTTCCAGATCCCTTCCACAATCACCAAGGTGTGTTTAGAAAAAAGTTATGAGCACTGTAGCAGAGGGGAGTTTCCACAACTATGAGGACACATAGCAGGGACCAGCTGGGTATCTGCCAGGTACATGTAAAAGACAGGTTTTAAGCTGAGTCTCTGAATGCAAAGACATGAAGCATCCAAGAGATTTACCTTATGTTTACTCATTTCCTTCACTTTTCCTGTGACTGATGCATCTATATAGACTCCGACCTTCCTCTTCATTGTTTCTGTTGGGCTCCACCCCTCCTACTGACATTCTCACAATGAACCCTCTGTTCAAGGTCCAGCTCAAATCTCAAGTTACCATCTTTGATGCCTTTGCCTGCTACTGCCCACCCCTCACGCCTCCATCATAGCTATTATCTCATGGCCACCCTCCTCTGAGTCAGCACTACACTAGCTTTTCTATTATACATATACCATTTGGTTTAATTCTCCCAGCAATACTACAAGGTCAGAATAATAACTATACAACCTCCAACCCCTGGCTTCATTCTATAGAAGAGCAAAAAGGTCCAATAACTTGCCTAGTGCCACAAGTAAATAGAGCAACTACAATTTGAAGGTGGCTCTAGGCAATTCCAAACCCTTCTTGCCATGCCGGGCTGCACATCTGGCTTAAGTACAGTGACACACATGGTTGGTTGAGACAATGATGCTATCTTTATCTGTGCCTTCCTTGTGGCGTTTAACATTATCGTCTTCAAGCTGTACCACTTATACAGAGCTTAGTTTCTCTGTTTTTAAACAAAATAGGTCTGATTGCTTTCCGAACCTCATCTGGCTTACTAAAGGAAATCACTGCTGGTTCTGTAAAGGAGGAGACACATGTTATTAGACTGAGCAGAAAGCCACAAGCAGGAAGAAACAATCTGCTTTCAGGGAGTGGCAGGGGCTGGAGTTTTCAATTAATTAGAAGCGGCCTGTTGACATCATGAGGTTGAGTTGTCCCTTAGATTGCCAAAGCTGCCAAACCAGATATTATATTGTGGCTTAAAGTCAGAATTTACAAAATCTCTCACATAAAACGTACCCTGTTTATTAGCAAACTTATTACACTGAGGAGTCAGAAAAAGGCATTCATGAAAAACAAATAACCTGTGTTCATCTATGGCCAAGTACCATATACATGGATGGACAACAGGGGCAAGAATATCTAGCCCTGTTTCATGTGAGATTGGAAAGTGAAACAAGCAACTCTCTGAGATGACGTTAAGGGCTTCTTTGTAGACGTGCTCAGAACAGTCACCCCTATATCCCTCCTTCAAAATTCTTCGACTATAGTTTTGTCCTTTTCTCTATTTTAAAATGAGAATGAATGACAGAACAAATGATCTAGTTTCTTTAAGTAAAACACAAGGAATGAAGAGAGAGGCATGGGAACATTAGATTAAAAGAGACTTAAGAGGCTTACCATTAAAATACAATGTGTGAATTGCAAGGGATCCTGACTTAACCAGATTGCTAAAAATTATGAGATCAGAGGGAAAATGTGAACAGTCTGGATATTTGATTATATCAAGAAATGTATATCAGTATTTTTTGTATGATGATGGTGTTGTATTTTTTTTAATTTTAAAAAAGAGGCCTTTTAGAAAAATATTAACTTCAAAATGAGGACAAGGGAGAGATTGAAGTGGGTAGGGGCACATACATGACATAAGACTGTCCATGGTTGGTAATTGTGGAAGCTGGGAGATGGGTACACCTGGGATTCATTATACTATACTCTCTACTTTTGCAGATGTTTAGTTTTCCACAAAGTATTTGTTTTGGAAAGGTGACCTCATTGTTCCAGTGCCCTCAAATTCCAGCTGGACCTTGCTGTCTTCCCTGCCTAAAACCCCTCCCGACCTCCCGTCTGAAACCCCTATCATGGGGTATATGTGGCCCTGCCACACTGCCTCTCCCTGCCACCTCCTCTCCACTCTATTCAATCCTGACGTTCTTCCCCATCACACTTAATCCAGGAAGCCTTCTTAGACTTTAAATATTTGGCTCAGGCAACTGGATAGATACTTCTGTACCTCACCACACTATTTCTTTATAACCATTAGTTTTCTTACACTGGTTTGCTTAACCTCTATCTTCCCAAACAGAATGTTGGCTCTTTTAGGGCTTTTCTGTTTGCCGTCACTTTTCTATGCCAGAGCACAGAATCCAGCCATGGCAGGTTAAACAGATGGATACGAACATAGGATTCCCAACACATCTATATGCCTACAGTGTACTAGTCACTGTTGATCCTGGAATAAAAGGGTCTCTTTCTTTCCCTAGGAAGACCTTTGTTCTTACATTCCAATGGCAATTATAGAACATATCTCGTAATGCCTAATGATAACTTCAAAACCTTACTGAAAGGTTTTTCTAAAACTAGCATAATAGAAACGAACAGTTAAGACACTCATATTAGCTTAGGGCACCCAGAAACCCATGCCATACGTGCTCAGAAGAGAATTCCACGTACTTCTTCCTCGTGCTCCTTCCAGCAATCATAATCTGTTGCTATGGCAATACTCGCATAGCAGATTCCTGCCTCCTTGGCAAGAACCACCTCTGGAACTGTGGTCATGTTGATGACATCTGCCCCCCAGGCGCGGAACATGAAGCTTTCTGCCCGGGAGCTAAAACGAGGTCCTTCGATTGTGACCATTGTCCCCTTTGAGTGGCACCGGAGCCCCAGCTTCTTAGCAGTCTCTATGAGAACCTAGAAAAGAAAGAACCAGAAACTCAAAACATCCAAGCATACACACAACTCAAAATTTTATTGTTCCTTGATGTTTCACAATTACTCAATTAGAGAAGATTTTTCACTACAAATACCAAGTACCTGCCAGGCTCTCAGAACCCAGAGGGCCACACACCAGTGTTTCTTAGACTCTCGCTCATTTACATAATCCTGTTCCCCAGCGCTTTGCACAAAGAAGCTCACAGCTACAAGAGCAAACCCTGAGCTTTTTCTATGCACCAAGCATTTGCTTAGATGCTTTAATTTCCCTTACTTCTGAACAACTCTAAGAGACTACCTGGTTTGTGAATAGACTTGAGCCTTATATCACTCAGATCTCCTCAAAGAAATTTGCTGAGTTCTATTTCCAAGCTCCTGAGAAGTTAATTTTCATTGCTTTTTTATATAGAATCTGAAGACTTTTGTAAAGCCTTTTTTGGTTAAAAAGTGATTTCTACTGCCTGTTGTCTCTCTAAGCACTTATGGTGAAAGCAGAATGGGGTTATGTTTTTTTTTTTTCTGTTCAATGATAAATTTATCTTGTCATTCCTTTAGAGACAAGGCCAAGCACAGATTTTTAGATACACGATTAAAACATTTGATCACTTTTTCCAGTGTTCTAACTAATAATACACACATCTAATCTTCAGGTCCTTAATTTCATTTTTTTCTTAGCTTATGCTTCAATATTCCCTTTTAATTAAAAAAATGAGTCTTTTCAACCAGCTTTGCTATTAACTTGTGTAAGTACTATTAAAAATTCACTCAACCTCTGTGTGCCTGTTTTCTCAATTGTAAATTAGGAATAATAATATTGCATAACTCAAGATATAGTGAGGATTAAATGAACTAAGATATATACAAGCACAGAATCATGCCAGGTACACTGTAAACACCATATGTATAAATGCTAAGCTGGTCTAACGATTATTAATACTGGCAGCTTCTACAAGTTTGGCAAAAGTTCCTGGGATAGCACATAAAGTGGAGTCACTCAAAGCCAATAGAAGGCTCCAATCTAGGCCAAAGTCTTATCTGCACATGTCTTAATCACATAAGCAAATTAACATATTTCCTTAAAAAGTGACTTGTACTATGCTACAGCAATGGGAAAAGAATTTTAACAAGAGCCTCAGCAACTCCAAATTTAGAACCATGACAAGCATACAGACTATGAACAGCTGATGCTACATAATGTTTTATCTCATAAATACTGAAAATAAGATTATGGTCATCAACACTTTCTCCTAAAATGTACAAGTTTTAAATGTAAGGTCCTAAATCTCTACCTCCCCTTTCCCTGTCTTTTCTCCCCCCAGTTAAGACATAACTAGCCCAATCCTGCTGGTTCATTAACTGTCTTTAAGGATCTTGAATAACCAAACTGTGTTGGCTAAACTTCAGAGTGCTTCTAGAGATGAATAAAGGAAGGTCACAAGTACTGTGCACCACTAGCCTATGACATTAAGTCATCACCACCACCCTGAGAGATAGGTACCATGATTGTGAGGAGGAAACCGAGGCTATGGATATGGGTCAGCCACCTGAACCAGCACTTTGCACCCTTACAGTAACAGATTATACCACCATAAGGTAGCAGAAAATACAAACTACACGCGACCTCTGGGTCTGAGGCTGAGATCATTTCATTTTCTTGTCTGGAGTCATCACAATGGAACTTCTGAAGCCACCACAATCTATACCAAAAACCCCCTAGCAATGTTAGATCACCAGGCTAAATATACTTAATGTGTCAGAACTTTCAGGAGTTTCAGATTAGAAATGAAAAACTGAATAGGAGTCATGTCATTTTTGGAATAGGTAGTACCTGTACATGGTATAAAACTTAAATAGTGCAAAGGGAAATTATTCTGGAGGAGTATTTCCCCCACCCTGTGTCCTAGGGACCCACTTCACCTCCCCAAGGGAAACCACTGGATTACTAGGTTGTTTTTTGTTAACCTTCCAAAAATACTCTATTTGCATATGAACATTTACACATATATATACACACACACACACGTATTTTAACATAAATGGAAGGCTATGCCAGCCATCGTGCACTTGACAATCACGGCAGCAATCCTTCCACAGTAGTACGTGAAAGATCATGTGGATGTTCTAAGTGCTTAATTACCAAGTGGCAGCACATTCATTCTCATTTTTGGATGTTTAAAAAAATCTCTTTTAAAGTAATTAAGAACAAAGTAATATTCTGAAGGCTTATTTCTGTGATATTCTGAAACTGCCTTCCCCCACATTCTCAGTCTTTATGTGGGGTCCAATAGCTAGATTCATGTGGTTTCATGGGAGGCTACGTTGTGTTATTGGAAACCATCACCCCAGTACCACATTTACATGTGCGCTATATAGCTCATTCATGCTTCCCCACCCACCTCCACTCCTAGTTCCCCAAGTCTCTGTATTCTGCCTGGCACCAGGGCTCCGATTCATACTAACCTGGATTCTCTTCTTAGTCTATTTTTTCCCAAGCTGCCCCCATTTTGAAATGGACAAGAACCTCATCCACACTTTATTTCCCCTGGATAGCAACAGCAGCTCTATTATGTGGGAAGATCTGTGTTTCAGAGGTCAGACTAGTACCTTTCTGATACATTCTGTCGAGAACTATCCAGAAACATGTCCTATATAGACACATACAAACTTCACCTGCCTTTTTTTTTTTTTTTTTAAACAACAAACATACTTTCATGGAAGTCAGAGAGAATCAATGTGCAGTGGTACCTCTCTTTTGTTTGAGCCCAGAGTGAGGTCACAGTGCCCTTGCTCTTAACAACAAGGAAACAGGTTTTCCAGGATTATGTAGTGCTGAATGTAAATGCTAAAAGAAATCATCTATTCTCTACGTGCAGGTGTTAAAATTATCTGAATGACTAACATGTTTAGGTATTTACAGTGGCTAAGCTAATTCACAAGGCAGATTTTATGAGGCAGTTCACCTCTGATGATACTTCTGATCTTTCAAACCTGGGATTGTAAAAGCAGCGCATGTAGACCAAATGATGGACTTCTGAGTTGTGGTCACCATTTCTGTTCCTGGGGAGCTATGGCTGTGCCTCCTCACCTCATGCCACTGTTGGCCCTTGGGGGCTGCCCCACATTCTGATATTTTGCTGTAATATTGAAGGAGGTCGGGCAGTAATGGCCAAGCTCAGCTCAAAGGCAAAAGATGCTAATCTGACTATTTCTAGATATTCAATGATAATAATATCTAATTCATTAAGGCAGTTACCAGTCATTAGATGTTCTATAACTAACAGGGATGGTTCAAAGCACTTCATAAATATTAACTTTCATCCCTTGCACAGTCCTATGAAGTATAAGTTACCATTATTTTCATTTTACAAATGAGATAATTAAAGCCCAGAAACATTAAATAATCTGTCTAGTAACCCACAGCTATTAAGCTGAAGAGCAGAGATTGGATCCCAAGTAATCTGGTTCCTGACTGTATACTTCTGAGTAACATGCTATCCGATAGTAAATTATTTAAAAGATATCCTGACAGCAAAATCAAAACTTATTAAAAGGTAGGTTGCAACTTTGAGTGGTTTAACTCACAAATGACTGAGAGTAGTGAAGGCATTATTAGCACAGGGAAACGATTCTTCATAAAACCTTGCATATGAAGCAAACTTATGGGGTTAGAGGGACCATCTGCTCAGCTGACACTGATGCTACCCCAAGTCCTTATGACTTACTCTGGGGCACCTTCCAGAAAGATTACGTACCTCTCTCGTTTTGGGGCAAAACGGCTCAGCCATGGGAATATGGCACACTCCTCTGGCACAAGCATGAGTTCCATCATAGAAGGACTGAGGCCTCATGGCAGTCCTACAAAATAAAGTGGGGGGGAAAATTTTTTTTTGTTTTTTTTGTTAAAGCCATCTCTCCATCCTCTGAAGACTGGCAAAGCAAATGCATCTAGGTCAACATCTTGGTCTTCACTCCAGAATCAATAGCTCTGGATAAGCTGAAGGCAGTTGTTAAAACAGCAGCTTCAGGCTGGTATTTGATTTTTCTGGCTCTAGGCTGGTGGCAATACGCTTACTCAACAGGAGTTAAAGTGTTGTGGTCTGGCAGCGGTGACAAGGTAACCACATGGATTATAGGTACAACTCAACTGTGGGCTCAGGAAGGCCAGGTAAAAGACTTAAGAAGCCAATATGAAAATGTTTCATCATCAATGATGGAGAAAATTATATAGTGAACCCCACATACCCGCTTCATCTGTTGGCTCTTTTATGGTTGCAAATTCTAGGCTTTGACTCAGACCATATGCAAATTTCCCTGATGCCTTCCAAGAAATTATTTAGAGTAGGTCCTGCCCTTAGCTCCAGCTGTATTTTTTCATGCCACCGACCCAATGAAGAAACAGCTATCATCCCGCCACACATTCGGGAATCTGTCTTGTTTGCTGCCTCATTAGTTTACTCCTCTCCTGGCCATAATTAGTTCTAAAGTCTCTTAGTTCAAGTTATTGGTAAAACAGTTTTGAATCCACAAAAGAGACTAAAATTAACCCAGTGACAAGTCACCCAGAAATTTCTCACCAGAATTTTTCCAAACAAGCCACTTTTCTCTGCCCATGAAATTGTTCTAAACTTGAACTCACGAGTAACCCAGGAAAGAGAGTCCTCAATCTTTCCTACGGAGGGAGAACAGGGAAGGCATGGGCAAAGGAAGCCAACAGGGGAAGGAAGATGATGTGATGTCCTTTTCCAGGGGTGGAAGAGTGAGGGACAGCTCAGAGAACCAGTCTCACTGGTCCCATTTACACAGCTGCATGTCCACCGACCAAAATTCACCTGTTACTCTCACGATATCACATGCTAAACAGTGACACTAGTTGGCATGGAAGCCACTCCCTCAGAGAAGAGGCCTTAGGGCTCTGAAGGAATGAAAACCCTGTGTTCCTCCCAACCCTTTGCCACAAGTCCCTTAAGGGAAATGCTAAGTCAACCCCAAGCACTTCCAAATCGGGTTGAAGAAGAGGCCAAATGACGGTTCCAGTCGGTATAAATAGAGGCTTTTCTCTTTTTGAAAGACTGACCAATAAAATGATGCCACGTACTTAATTCCAGCTCTGGCTTGGTTTCAGCCTTCGATGAGTCAAGCATTAGCAATATCCCTGCTCACAACTGTAATTATTGAAAACAGGATCACAAAACCCTCCAGGGGCTAGACCCCAACAGATGTCCACACCAAACATCCCCTTATCTATCTCTGCCCTCTCTCCTGTCTGTGCCCACCCTTTGCCTTGGCACTCCTCCCTTTGCTTTGAACTTTTTAACCTTAAGACATATCATGTGTTTAAAAACAACCTTTATGCTACATCACATACATGTGATACTTATTGACTACAGTCTTAATTCCCTCTCTCAGATGGAATATTTTACATTTTTCTCTTTCAACAAAACTCCCTAGCTACTAACTATGTGGCTTATAGCAAATTACCATATCTTTTTGATTCTCCATTTCCTAATCATAAAACACAGTATTAATCTACCTACTTGGAAGGGCATTAGGATTAAGTCAACCAAGATGTCCAGATAACCTGCAGCTGCACAGACGTGTGGGCTTGGCTAGAGACAGAACTGGGAGTGAGCACATAGGGCCTCAGGGCACATGACCTTGAAAGGGGCCAAGTGGCCCCAGAGAAAAAACAGGGCTTAGAAACCAGTTTCCAATAGTTTTGGGGCTATGGTACTAAGATACTGGAAGGGAAGGTACAAATGAGAAACGCCTATTTACAGTTTACCCACCTACTTGAGTTGTTCCGCATCACTAACTTAAGTATGAACACATTCGGTGAAACATTTAAATCTAAACCTCAATCTCTACAAATAGCAGCATACCAGTACAGCACAAAATGAAGAGGCACTGTTAATGCTGACCAAGAGCAATGATGTTTTATAACCACAGCGGAGCAGAGTGGATGACACCACCCAAAAGAAATTCTAGAATGAAATGTAATTTTAATAGCACCTGTCCTCATTTTGAGGGTCTTCTGAGAAATCCAAGATTTTACAATTCAGCAAGAAACCTGGAATAAACCTGCCAGTCATGTACCACAAAGTAGGGACTGTTACCCACTTAAGCCCACCAGTTCACTGCCAATTTCCAGCCAAAACAGCTCTTCTATATTCAGAATCATAGTTCACCCTCATGCTAAGTTTTCTGAGTAACATGGAGAAAACACAGGAAATGTAATTTTGTCCCTGGATTTGAATCTTATCACTGAATGTTTGCGGGGTCTTGGGCAAATTACTTCACAAGTTCTTTCTTCACAAGGTATTAGCAACATCCCCCACTGCTATGGTCTGAAGGTTTGTCCCTCCAAAATGCCTATGTTGAAATCTTAATCCCTAATCCTACCTACTTTGAAGGTAGAACCTTTTGAAGGTGATTAGGCAAAGCCCTCATAAGTGGGATTAACATCCTTATAAAAGAGACCTCAGAAAGCTAGCTCATCTATTCTAGCTAGCTAGTGTGTTCCACATGAGCACACAGCAAGAAGGTGCCATCTATGAGAAAGCAAGCCCTCACCAAATACTGGAATCTGCCGGCAACTTTTCTTGGACTTCCCAGCCTCCAGAACTGTAAGAAATACATTTCTGTTGTTCAGAAGCTACCTAGTCTATGGTACTCTGTTAAATCAGCCTGAACAGACTCAGACACACACTTACACCTTTGTTTAAATATAAAAACAAGGCTGCAAAATCCTCCAGTGGCTACATCGCAACAGACTGTAACGCAATGACATCTCCATTTTATTGTCAAATCATGCCCACCCCACCCTGGAAAGATGTACACATGCTACTCCTAGAACCTGTGACTATGTCACACGTGGCAAAGGGGAATTAAGGATGCTAACAAGCTGACCTTAAACTAGAAAGGTAACAACAATAACAAAAAGCATATTCTGGATTAACGAGGTGGGTGCAATGTCATCAGAAGAGTCCATCCATGTGGAAGGAGGCAGCAAAGGAGTCAACAGCACAGTGATGAGAGGTGAGAAGGACTCAATCTGCCAGCGCTGGCTTTGAAGATGGATGGGGGCTCTGAGCCAAGGAATGCAAGTGACAAAGGACAAGGAAACGGGATTATCCCCTGGGCCTCCAGGAAAGGACACGGCCCTGCCTATACCCTTTTTTAAAAAAACACAGCGAGACCCATGTTAAACTCCTAACCTACAGAACTAAAAGATGATACATTTGTCTTGTTCAAGCCACTAAGTTTGTGATAATTTCTTACAGCAGCAGTAGGAAGCTAATACACACACTGATAGGGTCTGAGATATGGTTTCTACAGTAATAAAGAACTGATGCTGAAGGTCTGCCCCCTACTCTCGCTTCAACTAGCAAACCCCTCTACCTAGGCAGGGAGACTAATCAGCATGGGATCCCACTGAAAAACATAAACTTCAGGGACGGACTGATCTGGCTCTACCACTCACTAGCGGTATGCTCTTGGCAGAGTCACTCTCATTTCTCTGCACCTCATTGATATCAGTGTCCTCAATATTTAAAGTGGGAGTAACATCGTTTGCCTTCTATGGTGCATGTGAGCACTGAACAAGACAAGTTGAAGCAAGTGCTTGGCACTAGTAACTGCTGTTTATGGAAAATCTGCTTCTGTACGTCTCTCCTGCCCACCTCAAAGTATGACATTTTGATGTCATAGCACCCAACAAATTGGTCAGGACAGTCAAGCAGGGATGAGTGCTAAGAAAAGTGAGTGCACAAACAAATAAATAAAAACTGACTGTGGAAGAGTGGGGGAGACAAAATGATGTTATGTTCTGGCAAGAGACATGAGTTCAAGACAGTCAAGGAAAGAACACGGGGAACTCTCAGACACAGAGGGGGAGAAAAGCCCAGAGAAGTATTGACTGACAGGTTGTTTCTTGCATCTAGATGTTAAATCAGCCTAAAGATAGCCATTTGTTAGTGTTTCCTTTGAGGAAATGCAGAGTGGCAAACAAGTTGAGAGCAAACACCTGTCTGTGCCCACAAGCCCCAACATGCAGGAACGTGAGTCAATTACTTTACTGGCAGACCAGAACAGCTTCTCCTAAGAAAGATGGTTTCAGAGAAGTGGTTCCACTCTCATCACTTAAAAGGTTATTCAAACAGTCCAACACTAATGTTCAGGGACAGCGATGAGACAGAGGAAATCTTGACATCAGCAGAAGGCAACAGGTTAAGAAGTGGGGTGAGTCTGTCCTATGAACCAGAAGGAACCGCAAAGTTATGGATTTGAAACAACATTAAGCTCTTCCCACTCCTGTCTCATGAGTGCCCCTCATTGCTTATGGTGCCAGAGGAAGGAGAAACAACCATGGTTGTTTATACCCCAATGAGGAAAAACAGCTCCATGAACAGGTTACACACTTTCCCTTCTGTTCTATTATTTTTCATGAAGTCTTGCTAAACAGCATGCTGAGCAGGAGCACAAGAAAACAAGTCCTTGCTCTGACACAGGTGGTGACGATAATCTCTTTGGGCCTCAGTTTCCTCACCTGTAAATGGGAATAAGGTACAGCTCTAGATATTTCCCAGAGCTGTGATAATTAGCAATGTCTGAAATATAGTAAGGACCTATTTGCTCAACTCTAAAATGGGGAAATTACTGTTGTATGCAATAAATGGGATTAACTGACTGTGGCACCTGGTAGGAACTAAGAAACTGGTAGTTGGCATTTTTAATTACAGGATATATGGCCAGAAGGTAAGAAGAACAGAACTAGGTTATGGAACAGAACATAAGAATGAACATCTCATACAGGGGTAGCTGACCCCGATTCAAGGCAAGAAGATGACAAAGGGGGA